CGGCCGCTGCATTGCTGCAACATCAGGCGCAGTCACGCGCTGCGGCTGCTGCCGCTGCAGCAGCGGCCGCCGCTCAGGCTGCTGGTAGTTTGACGCGCGAAGAGATACGCATGCGTCGACGTTCATCGCACGATGAGACGCAGTTGGTGCAGAATGCCAGCGGCGGAATTGCGGGTAGGATGATTGCAATGAAACCAATCGATTTTTAACTATTCTTGTTTAAGCCGAATTTTGATTTGATATCAATTGCCTAATTTTTATTTCAAAATTATAAAAAAGATACTTATATGCCTATTCGTTTTTCGTGAGGGTACCACGGGCGGTACTCATGAGTAAGTGACTTCAGCTTAATTACATAGAAAACTCTATTCCTGCTGGTCTCAGGTGGTGTATTTCTCCCAGAGGACTGAAAAACTATACACACGCTTCTCCAAGACCGGAAAATAAACTGTCGATTCATGATATCTGGATGAAAGCTACCGGTTCTCTTCCGCGCTGGGTACTAACGCGATATTCGTGTAGTCAAGCGAACAGATACGGATCAGAGTCTGTCGTATCAATAATGTCAGCCAAACTGCGCTTTAGGCCCTGGAAAATTATGTAGGATAATTTCGTCTTACTAGAATTCATGTGAAAGCCAGTAGGCTAAGTAGTGTTCAGGTAGACAAATTGGCTAATAAAATGGCGAACTATGGGCCTGCGGTTCACTCAATGAAAACAGGTTTTGTGTGAACTGTTAGGTGGCTTCACGACGTCGTTTAAAAAAAAAAAACGGTGGAATTAGGCTGAGTTAAAGTTTTAGCCGCCTAAATCCAATTTAGAATGGCGACATACTTAGGCTCAATAAGGTCGATGTGGTAACGCTTGACAAACAAAAGGTATACTTGTAAAGGTGAATTAATGGGCCTCATGCATATAAAGTGAGCTTAAGCTACGACGTGATTTTCAGTACAATTTATTTAGCTTGAGCTTACTTTATCAGTGTAGAAACTGAGTCTGATTTTAAGCTCAATTTTTATGCACTGGGCCCAATATATTCTATTCCCCACTAAGGCAAGGCACGAACGGAGGCATTATTTATATTATTTGAAGATTTCGATTCCTTCCTCATCGCGATAATTTTGACAGAAGTCTTAAGTCAGAGGGCCTATTTAAATAGCATGTATTCCTTTTTGGTGTGACCGGTTACAGCCGCATGTCAATGTAGATGACTTCCCAGAAAAAAGAGGGTGTGTCTGAATTTTCTCGTCCTTTTACTAAAGGGATTCTTCAAAATAAATGGTAAAATGATTGGAAGTAACAACAAATAGATACAAATTATAAAAAAATAATCAGGAATGACTAGAAATTTGATATAAAATTGACTAAAAAAATTTACGAAAATTGTCAAAAGAATAACCAAAGATGACAAAAAATATAAGTAGCGATTGCATCAAGTGAGGGATCATTAAACATTGTTCAACAATAGTCATATGTACGATACAGTTTTCACCCGACGACATAGTCATATTTGATTAGAAAATGAGTGCATATTCGAGAGGGGAGAGTCAAATATGACCAATTTTTGTTCGAAAATTTTACAAAATGCTGGGTGTGTATGAATATAAGTGTTTTAATTGTTTTTGCAAACACATATGTATATATGTATGTACTCCGAGTGTACTTCTGTCATGAAAAACAGCTTCTCATAAAAATACAATCGCCGTTCGGAGTTGGCGTAACACTGTAAGTACCTCCCCCTTGTGGGACAATATCAAGGCGCACGCCACAAATCGGTTAGAAACTCGGCCAAACACTAATATAAGCGCCAATCTGTTAATATTATTATTATTATTTATGAACCCACCGGTCAATTTTTTCTGCCAGCAATAAGAAATCGAGTCGCTCTCGCAACAAATTGATCGCCCGAAGGCAACTCACCTGGTCAAGCCGTTTTATTATTACTCGAATGAGTCATTTTCCTATCACTTGGCGGTATTCGAGCAATAATTACTTAGAATCCTTTTATTCTTCTTACAACCGATTTCACCAGCAATGATTTTTCAGCCATTTTTCGAAACTTTAACAGTTTTTTCTCAAAAACTGGACGTGCTAGAAACATTTTGTAAATGCACTTCAAAAATAAAAAAAAACCATCAAATTTTGTTGAACTATGTTATTTACATATGAAAGTGTGTATAGTTAATTCTATAATACATATAAACCATATAAATCAAAGTTTCGCATTATATATAAGGTTCACAAAAATTCAAAAAATTTTCATTAAAATTTTAAAATTTTTATTCGGAATTTCTAGAAAGTTTTTAAGTATTCATGCATTTTTGTAGCCCATTCAGTTTTAATCAAATGAAGTGCAAGTTTCAACTGGGTTCTTCAAAGTTGTATGCTTTGCATTTAGATAAACAGCACAATTCGCTTTGCAATCACCTGCTCCGGTGACACCACCTTGTATGAAATCGCCTTGCGACCTGCTATCTATAATTCAAAGCATACTTTTTCATTAGCAAATTTCTCTAATTATGACAAAGGGTCCCCTATACCAAAGATTTGTGGAAGAAGTTGTGATTTTTTGTTTTTTTTATACACTTGGACTTTTATATAGCGAACTCCTTTGCGAAAAATTTTGATCTGTAACAGATTTTATTCCAGCAGACAAAAAAGTTCCTGCATCTTAATTGTATCGACACGCAGTGCGTGTAATATTTTTTCCATGCACCATCGAATTAAAAAATAAACCTCCCCGTTGAAATTACATGTTTGCGCTAGTCCACATAATTTTATCAAAAAAAAAAGATATACTTTAAAGCTTGCCCGAGAAGAAAAAAATTATATTTTTTTAGTCCCTCTATAACAATATCAATAACAATAAATGGTATCTGCATAACTTTCAAAAAAATACGATTTTTTGAATTCGTGCCTCTAATAAATTATCCCATAGCCTAAACTACTTATAAGTATCTACTACTGTTTATCATTTATCTCTCTATTCATCGCCTAGCATTGAAACAATTTTCCCTTGCGCCCCATTGCGCTGCTGATTTGGATTACATGCGTTGTTGTTTGAAAGGTAAAACTAATTGACGGAAAGAGGATATGCGATATTTTAACCAAAAATGCACTAAAAAAAAAAATGCAAAATCAAATTAAATGTTGTAAATTAACGTTTATGGCAGCTAATCCCAGCTAATGCAACAACACATTAATACGCAAAAATAAAAACAATTTAACTAACTAAGAATAAAATCGATAGCGAAGGACATCACTGCCCACCTGGTGGCCCTTGCACATAAAAGTTCATTAGAATTTGCTGAAATCAAGAAGCTATTTTGAAGCTTTCATACGTATTTATTTACTTTGGAAAGCACCAACATTTCCATAATCCTTGACACTATGAAGAATTTACAGGGCAATCCTGGCAACTGTCTTTCAACTCACCACAGTCTTTGACAAGACAAAATTCTTTCGCAAGACAATTGTTCGTTCTGGCAAATGTCTTGAAAGCTTAAGCAAAATTTTTTTTTAAAATTGAATTAAATTAAAAAAATATATCTAGTTTTCTTTTTGAAATGGTAGAAACTAATAAATGAATGAAAATAAAATTAAAAAAGGGAAAATAAAATAAAATTAATGTAAAAAAATATTTTTTTCAAAGTTAAATGCAACTAATAAATATAAATTTTTCTTTTTGAAACTATGAAATCTAAGAAAATTAAATTAGTAAAAGAAAAAAATTAAATAAAAATTGGAAAATAATAGTACGTATTTAAAAATTAAATGAAATTAAAAACCGTATATATTTTGGCTTTTAAAACAAAATCGAAAAATAAAAAGAAAATTAAGTTTGAAAAGACAAAAAGATTTAGCAAAAAATATAAGATCCTAAAAATTAAATGAAATCAATTTTTTTTTCTCAACAATAAAATCTAAACCCAAAAAAAAAAAAAATAAAAACTAAAAATTCAATGCAATTCAAAAACCATTTACTTTTCTTTCTTAAAAAAAAAAACGAAAAAAATTTATTTCTAAAAATTAAAAGAAATAAAAAAATATATATTCTTCTTTTCAAGACAATGAAATCTAAAAATTGCAAGAAAATTAAATTAAAAAAAAAAAAGTAAAAATTTTGGCTGGCTTAGGTTTCGAACCTAGATCTCTCGAAAGGCACACCAGTGCTTTCCTCACTCGGCCATTTAATACTGTTGCAGCGACGTGAGCTAAATTATATACAAGTGCTTCCCTCAAAAGAGTTTTCCACCACGAGTGATGTTTGAGAAAGCTTTTTTTCCAAGACTTTTATACTAGAGCAAGAAAAGCCTTTCGTAATATCTTGCCATCTGTCATTCATTTATCTCAGAAAAACTGTTTACTATCTAAGCCAGAATTGCCCTGTTAGTCACAACTATCAAATTGTTTACCACTAACTTAATGTTAATGAATTTTGCATGATCGTTTATTTTTCTGGTTTAAATGTGGAAATTATAAAGGACTCCTGGTTCGATGTATTTTGAAACGCAATCGTGACGACGAATATTCATTCGAAAACACATCACACTCCTACCCTTACGAAATCACCTTCCACCAAAAATTAGACTTTTGGCTCCTTTAATGCAGGTTTAATTTAAAAAAAGTTGTCCTAGGGTACCACGGTTATACAAACATATGTACAAGGACATCGTATAAGCAAGGAGAAATCTTACAGCACTCAAATAAAAACAAGGCATTGATTGCGCTTTCTCTGTTACTCTTCATGCGAAAGCATCAAGAGCGGAAAGCACATAACACAGTTCTACTCAACTTTACTAAGCTTTCACTTACATTTGTACTTACAGCTGCTGCAGTCGAAAGCTAGGTCACTTACTTTCGACATTTTACTCACCTTTGTTGTAATTGTTATAATTTCTTATGTGATTTTTTTAAATAACTAACTTTTCTCACCCAGCATATTATGTAGTTCTCAATCATAACTAATCCGTCTTTTTTTCTTTACGTTATTTCTCTAGTTACACGCTTACGTGAGCACTGGGATGAGACCTCACAGTGTGTGCTGCAACGCGCCGCCCAATTGAAGAATATGCTCGGCGATTCACAGCGGTGAGTAGTGTTGCAAATTTCCTAAAGAGATTATAAGTTTTATTAAAACTAAATTAATTAAATTAAAAACCTAATAAAATTCTGTCATCCCTTTATTTTTTATTGACACACACACCCGCACAGCTATGAAACAAAGCGCTTGGAGTTGGAAAAATGGCTGGCCCGCATGGAGGCACGTGCCGAGCGCATGGGCAACGTTGCCACCACGGCTGATGTCTTGGAAGCGCAGCAAAAGGAGCAAAAGGTATGTACGAGCATGTAGTTGTGTGTGTGTGTGGTTAGATTGCTGGCTGCAAACTTTTACTAACAAATACTATAAAATTGTAATTAATTAATTTGTGTAATTTGCTTTTGTGCATTTTGTTTACAGTCTTTCCACGCCGAGCTGCATCAGAATAAACAACAATTTGAACTTTTCAATGCTTTGACGCAAAAGTTGATTGCCGTTTATCCATCGGATGATACTACGCGTATCAAAAAGATGACAGAGGCCATTAATCAGCGGTGAGTGCCTTGGTTTCAATTTTTGATTTTTTTTTGCGATATTTAAAACATTCGTTAGTCGTTCGTTGTTGGAGTTTAATTGAAGAATTATGTACATACAGAAAATTACTATATATGTAGCAATCACTGTTATAGCCAGTTTCACTAGAGAAATTTAAATGAAAGAATGCAAACTAATAGAAGAGAAAAATTAATTTTTCCCTTAAATTGCTAGTGAAATCGGCTGTTAGACCTAAATTTCATTGGTTTTTAGTTGAATCCCAATTTTTGAGAGTTAAAACCGAAACTAAATTCCCCTAAATTTAAAAATAAAATTACCTAAATAATTTTTTTAGAATGAAAATAAAAATTCTGAACAAAAAGCAGTAAAATTTGGAATCAATCCGAATCATTTCGGAACTTTTCGTGATACTTTTTAGATTGCCGCAAGATATTTGGGAGTTTTTTTTAACATTCTTCTTATTTTATTTTAAGGGACCTTTCGGTGGTTTTTGGGCTACTTTGGAATTTTTTCCGGTACTCTTTTGAGAGTTTTAAGAAACTTTTGTAATTCTTTGTATTTTATTTTAAAGAGGTTTCCCGTATTTTTCGGGACCTTCAGTTTTTCGCACTTATATTATTTTCTCGGGATTCTGAGTATTTTATATTTCCGGGATGCCAGGGAACCTTTGCAATGTTTTCAGGTATTTTATAAAATTTGCGATCTTTCAGAATTTTTTCGGGACCTTTCTCGGTTTAACGGGGATTTTGAAAATTTTTAGTTTTTGAGGGCGTCGTGATTTATACTACTTCCGGATTTGTTTGATTCTTTTCGGAATTTCTTGGAAATTTTGAAACAACTTTCCCAATAGTAGGTACTTCCTATTTCATTAAATGGTATCCTTCGGAACTTTCATCAATTTTTTAGGACTTTTCGGTATTTTTAGGGAAGCTTTTGGAACAATTTTTGGGGTTTTCCATCGGCATTATAAAATGCATTACATATATTAAAAAAAATTCACCGAAATATTTCGGAAAAATATTAAGACGAAAGTGAGTTTAATCAATTTGAAAAGAAGTCCCAAAATAGAATTTTTACAAATAAAATTACTTTTTAAAAGTATGTTTCCCAAAAAATCACCTCAGATGATAGAAAGGTTTAAACTAAAAAGGTGTGCATAAGAATGTTTGAACATTTCATCAATAGAATCAAAATGATGTGATTTTTTCAAATAGGCTCAGACGGCATATGTAAACCTTAATATTTTTATGAAATATTAAGGCGGTGGTCTTAAAATATTATAATTTGTATAATTCTGATGGAAAAACGGCTCTGTTTTTTTTCTATGGAGGGTGAAGCACTCTAATGTACATTTGTATGTAACATGACAAGGAAAACAATAAAATACTTTCGCAAATAGGGTTTGTTTTTCAACATCCTTGTAGCTCGATATATTACTGTCTTGTGAGCGTGGTACACATCTTGTGAGAGATTTGTATGCCCAAATTTTCTATCAGAGCTCTTTTTGAAATGCCTTTTGAGTGCATTTTTCTGGCGGAGTGACCTCACCTAGTCGCCAAATGCGGTGTTTATTCAGGCAGTTCGTACGAGCAAGCTACCCAATATATAACCAGAATAGAACACAACATGGTGGCTGGACTGAGATTTTCCAGTTTCCGAATTGTATCGCATAATGATGACCGATTTTTTTCATGTTAACAGATTCACTAAGAGCGTTCACTTTGGATGTGTTTAGGTTGTAGAGAGATGGTATTATTTTTTTTTTTACAAACTACTCGTAGTTTCCTTCGGGATGGGATTGGAGTAGGGGCCAGATAGTCGAGGAGAATTCCACTGAAATCTATACTGCCGGTTGCAAAATGGATGTGTTGTGCTAGAATGTTCCAAGCGGAAGTACTGGAAATCGAACGGGCCCGTAAAGCATTCGAGGGGAGCTGCATAGGAGTACGAAGAGCATAAATTTTCTCAGATTTACGAGCGGCACTTCTGGCACTTGCCTCACCGGTAACAAAATCTAAAAAAGTCAAAGCTTAAGATCGACCGACAAGTTAATTAGCATCTCTCTCATCCGGGTTCCCGGCCATAGGAACGAACATACACCGAAATGAGTGGGCTTGTGACTTGTCTAAGGCCAGGTCATCCTTTGATGAATCCCAAGCAGAGACAATAAACTTTTCACTCGGACTCATCAAAAGGGAACATCATTTGCAATTCGCACATACATATGGCTGACACATGTAGAAACAACCTTCAAACCTGCAACGTTGGACCAACCTTCAAACTTAGAAATATATGGCCGCATTATGACAAGCCAAAGAAGCACTTTTAAAGAGGTCGAGGAAAGGTATACCCAAATTAACTGCCACGATAATGGGACATTGGCCGATTGGCAAACATGTAGCTAAAGTGGGCCTTCCGTACATCCCTCGGTGCCGTAGCTGTAATCCTGAGTAAATTAAGTAAACGGTCCTATACTGTCTTTACAAGTGTCCAGCATTGGCACGAGAAAAGGCATGACACACACGAGAGTTTTTCCATCCAAACTCTTAGGGAGATCTCCATTAATGAGTTTCTTATAAGTCAGGGCGGTTACTTTTGGGACTGTCCGGGTAAATACCGCATACGGTTTCTGTAAATGTTAGTTTATTAGAATCAGGTATTCTCTACAGAATAAGGCCAGAAACAGTTCCAATATTTTTTCTGAGTTGATAGCATTTAGATGCCAGGAAATCTGTAGTTTGTGAACTTTAAGCCGCAAAAAGGGTTAACTTCTACTTAACCAGTGACATGAATAAGTTTATATGTATTTATTAACCAAACTTTTCCTTTTCAGTTATTCAAATTTAAATAATGGCGTCGTCAATCGCGGCAAGCAGCTTCATGCCGCCGTACATAGTCTTCAGTCATTCGATCGTGCTATGGATCAAGTATGTGCTCCGTAATCATATTTTCATTATTTTAATTGCTAACGATTATTTCTGATATCTTTCTACAGTTTCTCGCTTTTCTCTCCGAATCAGAATCACTTTGTGAGAGCGCCGAGGCTGAAATTGATCGCAATCCACTAATGTTCAAGGTAAGTGGTGGAGATATATATCTATACATTTTTTCGCTTTGCTATGATGTTATCAAATATAGTGTGCTACCTTCATAAAGTTTTTTTTTGTTTTTAATAAATAATTTTTATTATTATGCCTTGAGATAGCCTAAATGAATTTGTGGGCGAAAATATTTTTTGTTCTTAATTTAGAAATAAACGAAAATGGTCGAACTTAGCTTAAAATAATAGAAGCTTTCATACATTTTTAATGAAATAGCGACAAACTATTTTAAACATTCATTACGAAAAAAATGGTGAAAATATTTTAAAATAATGAAATAACTGGTAGATCCAAACATTAAGTTTTTTTATCACATTTCCCGATTCTTTCAAAACTACATCGAGCGCTAAGGGAAAAAAATGTTGCGGCAACAATTTAATTTTATGCATAAATGTTGTAAGAGCATCTGGAAGCATTTCTGTATCGAAAAGAAATCTAAAAAAAATTCTTACGTTTTTTGACAGTTATGGCTCAACACTTTTTGCGCTGGTAAAATTTTTTTTTCAGATTTAGTTAAACAAATTTTTTAATCTGTGGTTAGAAAATGTTCGGTAAGGTTAGGAAAAGGCCTGCTAATGGACATAATGAGTAGCCCGTTAAGTTCTTTAAAAAATGATAATGCTTGTTGTAGCATAGCTACAGCACATTTTTCACATACCGTTTGTGACACTCCACTGCGTCCTGGGCGCTTGAAACGTATTCTCTTCTCTGCCCAAACTGGCCAGTTTCCAACTTGGTCTCGCCTTACTGCAATTCGAGGAACATGTTGAGCAGGACCCTTATGCTTTTTTATAGCGGCCCATTATGCTATCGATGATATCCACCCCACTCATGTGACGATTATACTCGCTCACTATGTAAGGTCTTTCAATGGTAATATATTTTTTGTACTTCGGATATCGGTAGCTCGCCAGCAAAACTAGTTGCTAGAGTAACTGATTTGTTGTCCTTCCAAACAACGGTCCCACATATGCAATATATCCGACGGGGTGCCCACGACCATTTTTAGAAATATCTTTATCTGTCGCAGTCAGGTATTCTACTTCGTCGTATTCGTCGTTCCTTGGCCTAATATTCTATTAAGTGGCAACGACGTTGTAGTTGTCAAAATAAAACCTATAGTTTTGATTCCTCGGAATATTTCTGGCCAGTCTCAGTCAATGTTTCAGGCAGCACCCAAATCTGGCTCTCCAGGCTCTATAGTAATTTCAGCTCCAGTTTGTATTTCAAAATAGTACGCGAAACCGCTAGTGTCGCAAAGTGCAAATATTTTATATCCCGAATTTTGCCAGCTTCTTGGGATTATATATTTTCAAGTTATTCCTTGCTTTCGTTGAGCAAATTTCCTCATCCACACAAAGCTGGCTCTCTAATGGAATTTGCATACACGTTTCGTTAAATTTTATCAGTATTGGTCGCGTTGGGATGTTCGCGAGGAAGCATTTGGAATTGTCATTGAAGTGTATAAATTACCTGATCTTTTCAAATTTTTTCGCTGGCATCGTTTCCTTTATGAAAGGTGTTCCGATTACATAATTCCAATGATTCGGCACTCTTGGGGGATGTACCAAAGCCATTATATACGTTATTCTAATAAACTGCTGGATGTCGATTTCGGACACATGAAAATTCTTTCTGTGGTCCTTATGTAAAATGCAAGTATTGTTTTGCTCAGCGAAGTTCAGGAATAATTCTTGGGGAAATATTTTTAGAAAAAACTGGATAGGCGTTTCTAAATCCAAAATATCAGTAAGTAGTTCTTCCATTCCTCTGAATCGAAGTTGATGTTCATTTAGTTCAATACTTTTATCTTCCAGACAACATTCTTTAGTTTAATGCGACGTGATGAGCCAGGTTGAGTAGCACTTGCCAATACGGATGTTTGCTCTAAGTCACTAACACATTAGGGGAATTCACTAAGTTTTGCAAAACCCTTGATTGCTTGTAAAAAACGGTTTTCCTCAGCGAAAGTTGTGCCTTCCGTAGGCCGTGCACGGGGTTTGGCAAGGTTTGGTGAATCCCTCTACTAAGCTTTTGATTAGCCAATGTGCTTATCGCTCGATAAAAAAAAATATTGATTGGAAAACAAGAATTTAGAGAGAGCTGAATACAATTTGACGCTTCAGTTTCTTCTACATAAAAATTATCGTTTTTATTAGAATTACACTCGAATGTTCGCATTGCCTGTGTATGGATTTCCCTGATCACGAATCGATGCTGAATCCTACCGTGTGAAAGCACGTGCTTCTAATAATCCCGCTATGGTTTCTTACCTTTCTGATGTATTCCCATACAATGCTTTTTTTGTCACGCTGAACGTATGTCACATCGAAACTTTCTGGACACCAGCGTTTCTAAATTTGGTAAACACGCTATCGAAAGATAGCTGTAGACTTTGCACAATTTCCGGGAGCTCGAATGAGGGCAAATATTTACTAAGCCTTAAGTCTTACAAGCTCAAATTATGCAGTCCACATGTGGACTTTAGAACTAACCCCTAGAAACTCATATTCTGGGCAGCAGTTGTAGTTATATACATACATAAACACACGCAGAGTGAACAAAGAACGTAGATCGATGAGGGTGTCTCTAAACCAAACTAACGACTTTGATGGAAATACTGACCGGTCAATGAAATGTTAATATAGTCGATACAGCTTTTTACCGATAAATAATTGCCCAACCTATGAAAGATATATCAATCCGTTCAGAAAAGTTCATTCCTAAATGGTTCGCCAAATTCGATGAAATTTTGACAGCTTGTTGCGTAAACTCGCATATAACTATGATTTATGAGTATGTAGATTAGAGTAATCCGCAAAGTCAAATGAACGAGTTTATTCAGTCCTACCCCTCCTCAAGTGGTAATGCCATAGTCGAAGAAATCACATATAAATTTTGGTGCCAATTGGAGAAGGTTAAGGCGTGTCCCACAGGGCGCAAAGTACAGTTTCTTTATAGAGACTCAAAAAATTAAAATTATTTTATTTTTTTTCATCTAACACCTAAAATCGATACTACCATAGTCGAAGATATCACATATACATTTTGGTCGCAATAGGAGTCGGTTAAGGCGTGTCGCAAAGGGGTCAAAGCTCGATACCTCAAAACATTAAAAACATTTTTTGTTTTTTCATTTAATACCCAAAATCGATACTATTAAAGTCGAGGTTTGAAATATATAAGAGTTGGTGAAGACGTCTTAATCGCCACGCCTTAACCGTCTCCAATCGGAACCAAAATTTATATTGTTATCCTCTACTATAGTAGCATCGGCGTAGGGCTTGAGGCTAGGGAAATCTGCTGTAAAAATTTGCTTCCTACATTTAAGGACAACCCTAATGTATACATGTTTGGATTCGCTTGGTGACGCTTCATAAACAATAAAAGGCTAAACTATGCTTTCATATAGCCAATCCCTTACTAATGATTTTTATTTTCAAAATCATGCCGTCTCTTCTTAAACGGTGGTGGGCATCAGCTTGCCTGCGGACAAAGCTCTTTCAAGCTTTCTATACTAAATTTATACAAAACTTGAAAGAGCTTAGCCCGCAGGCAGGCCGGTGCCCATCACCGTTCTAAAAGCAGGCTTACAAGAACAAACAAGATCAGGGTTAGGATAGCACCACCGTGCGGTGCGCCTGCGGTGTACCTGCGTTAGTGAAGTTATTGAAAGCTTCCAGTATTTAGTATACTTTTGTGTAGGGCGACACCTACCGACCTTCTTTTGCAGTTAATATGTTGAGCTTTTGAAAGACGGTCACAAAGCATTCCGTTTATTATATGCGGCTAAAAACGTAATTCTAGCATTTTTAGCAAGAAAGAAGAACAGGCCGATAAGCCTGAAGTTCTTAGGAGAAGCACAAGAGCTTTTACCGGCCTTCGGGATAAAAGTGGCGTTAGCACAATCCAATATTTGAGGATCTGCCCAGTTCTCGCGCCACTCCCGATATCTCCAAGGCCTTTTGCAGCTGCGCAGGTATGATGCCAATCATTTTCGAGGATTTGAACGCCTTTGTCAGACAAGCCAGCTGACGATCATCGAGAAGGTCGTATAGGAAGCTGCAACCCTAATGCATGGTCCCAAACGAGATTTCTCCTAAAAGTTCCAATTCAGAATAGACCTACGTCTGCGGTCCATATTAAAGAGTCGTTTGCTTGACGCCCTCTAAGCATAGAGCACCATCATCAGATGAATTTCCCACATTATTTCTGAAAATTCAGAGAAGACGCGCACTCAAGAGTGTGTCTCTACACGTAGAACTCAGCATTTTGACCAGCTAATCCAATAAGGCCCCAAAAAGCTTTCGTCTGGCGCAGCAGGGTGACTAAGCGAGGGGGAGCAAAATATTGACCGAAGCCTCTTAGACACTGTTGCCAACTTGGTGCTTTTTGCACTAAATTTAGTGCTTTTCTTTATTCAAAATGCGGAAATTTTTGAGTTTAGTGCTTGGTGTGTTTTTTGGTGCTTTTGTGTTTGGTTTGAAGACACCAAATCTGGAAATCTTAAAAAAGAGGGGAAAAAATGTATAGCAATCGTAAGTTTTGTAAGCAATTTTACAAAAAAGGAAACAAAATCACGTCACAATGACAATCATAAGCGAGGGAGCATACATACAGTGGCGGGCAAAAATGGATGAATGGTGTTTCGTTTTTAATATTTTTAATGTTTTTCAAGCTAAAACAACAAAAACTATATAAATCACACTTTCAAACTTTATACAGAACTTAGAAAAATTCCACAAATTTTTATCTAAATTTCGAGCTTTTGAACCAGAATTTTTAGAAATTTTCCGGGTATGCAGTTAACGAGCTTATAAAATTCTAGTAAAATAAGTGCAAGTTTTGAGCGGCTAAGAACTCACATTGAGTTTTAATAAGTTTTTTTGTTGACATCGTTTTGCACTTTTTTCCATATAAACATGAATTTTATGTGGAAAAATATGCACAAGATCTCATCGATAAAAATAAAAAA